AAAAAAACCAAAAAACGGAACAACGTGGGGCCAGCAATTGGCGTAATGGCTATGTTGCTGGACTCCCAGCAACCGTGGTTCGAGTCCCGGACCCGATGGCTTAAACTCAGGCCGGGTGCATGTGCGTGTGTGCCCAAGATCCTGAAAGGAGAGTGGAGAAGGGATTGCGGCGTGGCCATCCACCCGGGGGGGTGATTTCTCACTTTCTGTCTCTCTGTCTCTCTGGTGAGCGCATGCTCCCTATAGCAAAAACCTTTCAAAACAAACAAACAAACAAAACCCAACAAGAGCAAAAGGCGTAATTCTAGTCCAAGCGTTGGCAGGTATCTACCATGTGGCCATGTGGGTTCAGGGGCTGATCCATTCAGTAGCTTGCCTTTCAGGGCTCGCTTCTATATGGCCTCCTCCGGGAAGCTTCCCCAGTCTCCTCCCAACCTAGAGTCTCACTCCTGTCCTGCTCCCACTCTGCCTACCTCTCCATCACAGCACATTCAGCTGCCCTTGTCATTACTGGCTTTGTCCCTTCCCCACTAGGCCATGGGACAGAGGACACGCTTGGGCTCCACCCCGTGAGCCGTGACACCCCACAGCTTGACACCCGCAGGCCTGCTGCCCCCCGCCCCGGGCCCCAGGAGGGCCGAGAGACTCACGAATGCCCTGGTGTACTGGTTGAGCATGAAGTCTCCGCTGACCGCACGCCGAAAGGCTTCCATGGCGAAGTCCGGGGGCGCAAAGTCGGGGAAGCCCTGGCCCAAGTTGATGACGTCATACTCGCTGGACAGTTGGCCTAACTCCACCCTGGGTAAAAGATGGACAGCTGGCTCTGGGCCCCCGCCCCGGACTTCTGCCTCCGGGGCATGGTGAGCACTCAGGAGGTCCATTCTGAATAACTGGACAGCCAACGCCTGGCCCTGGCCTGGTGCTCAGCGTGAGGGCGATGGCCAGTCCCGGGCTCTGTGGCCGGCTGGGCTGGGCACCGCGTCATGGCAGGACCCAGAGTGAGACGCCTTCCCATCGCAGGCCTGCAGAGCACAAACGTGGGACCCCATTTCCTCCTGAGTGCAGCTGACTGCAACAAGGGCTCTCACAGCCACCCTCTCCAGCCTTCCGATTTCATGACGGCTGGTGCGTTTGTCACCCCACAGTCCGAACCCCTCTGCTCACAGCCCCTTCGCTGTGGCCCGTAAGGCAAGGCCTGCTTGGGGCACAGTTGGGTACAAGGCTGACGACTCGTCAGGGTCTGGTCTCCCAGGCATGAGGCGTGGCCGGCTTGCTGTCCACGTCTGTCTGAAGCAGTGCATTCACTTGACCCAACCTGGACAGATCTGGGCCCCACCAGCACCGGAACCCTCCATCTCTGGTCCTCGACAGGCTTGCTCCTGCCCCCGCTGGTGGCCAACTGTTCAGGGACACAGCGAGACCAGGAGGCCAGAGGAGGAGGCCGGTCTAGCTCTGGGCTAGTTGGGAGCAGAGGGGTCAGACTTGGCTGAGTTGAATTTATATAACAATAAATGCCATTTATGTCTTAAAAAAATTTTTTTGAGAGGTTTTTGCTGTAGGGCACATGTGCTTCCCAGAAAGACAGAGAGACAGAGAGACAGAAAGCGAGAAATCCCCCCCCAAGGGGGTGGGCACACTCAGAGAGACAGAAAGCGAGAAATCACCCCCCAAGGGGGTGGGCACACTGCAATCCCTCCTTCTCCTCCATTCTCCTCTCGGGATCTTGGATGCACACGCGCCAGGCGTGAGTTTAAGCCCCCGGGTCGGGAACTCAAACCACGGTAGACTACATGGGCATCCAGCAACATAGCCACATGGCTGATGGCAGTTTGAGTTCCAGACCTGGTGGCTTATTTTCTCACTTGCCCTCTCTCTCTCTGGTCAAAAGGAAAGAAGGGAAGAAAAGAAGGAAAGAAGGAATGAAGGAAAGGGGGAAGGAAGAAAGGAAAATAAATAATTCTTAAAAAAAAAAAGTCAAGACTAGCAGATGGTGTAATGGACTGCTACGTCGTTGACCACAGTTCGAGTCCTGGACCCAGCAGTTTAAAACTCAAGCTGGGTGCATGTGCATGTGTGTCCAAGATCCTGAGAAGAGACTGGAGGGAAGGTATCACAGTGTGGCCAATCCCCCAGGGGGGTGACTTCTTGCTTTTGGGCTCTCTGGACTATAGCAAAAATCTCTGTCTATAAAAACCAAAAACAAAAGCCAATACACATTTTTAAGTACAGAGGTGGCAGGAGAAAGAAGGCACAGAGAGGCCTCCACGGGCCTGGTCGAAAGGGAAGTGGGGAAGATGACGGACCCTCTCTGGTTCCCGCCGCGCCCACGAATCACTAGTAACAATGGAGACCGCGTGTCTTCTGTACTAGAGAAGGCGGAAGCGAAGATGAGCTCTGAGAGGGGCCGGCGAGAGCTGCTGGGTCGCCTGCATCTTAGGCCTCGCCTCCTTAGCTCAGTGGGTCTTCCTGGGTATGAAGGTGAAGGTGGGCATCTGGGGAAAGCCCTTGGCGTGGAGCCCGGGAGCTGGCCTTTGCTGTTAGACCGCCTTTCACCCACCCTCCCAAAGCCCTACGGGTGTGGCACCTGTCCCGGATACCTGAGTCACTGTAAACCAGGGGATGGCCGACCCATGCCCAAGGGTCACCCATACAGCTCCCCTGCCCAGCTGGCTCACCAGGGGTTGTGGTCTATGCCGTTCAGCCTCCGTGCCTGCAGCTGCTTGGCCATGGTGAGCTGGAGACGACAGAGCGGGAGCGAGGTCAGCGCTGGAGTGGTCCAGGTGCCGCGGGCCAGCACTGAGCCAGCACCCGGTCCGCCCACGCCCACTCCTAGGGAGGAGGCTGATCCGCACTCTGATAGCGAGGCAGGCCCCAGCTTGCCTCCCTCCAGTGCCCACCAGGCCCCTCTCCTGGCCCTTCCCCTTCCCGGCCTCAATTTCCCCACCGGCAAGGACTGCCTGGCGAGTGCGCCGGATCTGTTCTGAGACAGCCCTGCCCTAACCAGGTGAAAGGATTTTTTTTGAGAGGTTTTTGCTATAGGGCGCATGTGCTCGCCAGAAAGACAGAGAGACAGAGACAGAAAGCGAGAAATCACCCCCCAGGGGGGATGGCCACGCCGCAATCCCTTCTCCTCCATTCTCCTCTCCGGATCTTGGGCACGCACACGCGCTCAGCAAGTTTAAGCCACAGGGTCTGCTTGCTCCTGCCCCCGCTGGTGGCCAACTGTTCAGGGACACAGCGAGACCAGGAGGCCAGAGGAGGAGGCCGGTCTAGCTCTGGGCTAGTTGGGAGCAGAGGGGTCAGACTTGGCTGAGTTGAATTTATATAACAATAAATGCCATTTATGTCTTAAAAAAATTTTTTTGAGAGGTTTTTGCTGTAGGGCACATGTGCTTCCCAGAAAGACAGAGAGACAGAGAGACAGAAAGCGAGAAATCACCCCCCAAGGGGGTGGGCACACTGCAATCCCTCCTTCTCCTCCATTCTCCTCTCGGGATCTTGGATGCACACGCGCCAGGCGTGAGTTTAAGCCACCGGGTCCGGGACTCAAACCACGGTAGACTACATGGGCATCCAGCAACATAGCCACATGGCTGATGGCAGTTTGAGTTCCAGACCTGGTGGCTTATTTTCTCACTTGCCCTCTCTCTCTCTGGTCAAAAGGAAAGAAGGGAAGAAAAGAAGGAAAGAAGGAATGAAGGAAAGGGGGAAGGAAGGAAGGAAAATAAATAATTCTTAAAAAAAAAAAGTCAAGACTAGCAGATGGTGTAATGGACTGCTACGTCGTTGACCACAGTTCGAGTCCTGGACCCAGCAGTTTAAAACTCAAGCTGGGTGCATGTGCATGTGTGTCCAAGATCCTGAGAAGAGACTGGAGGGAAGGTATCACAGTGTGGCCAATCCCCCAGGGGGGTGACTTCTTGCTTTTGGGCTCTCTGGACTATAGCAAAAATCTCTGTCTATAAAAACCAAAAACAAAAGCCAATACACATTTTTAAGTACAGAGGTGGCAGGAGAAAGAAGGCACAGAGAGGCCTCCACGGGCCTGGTCGAAAGGGAAGTGGGGAAGATGACGGACCCTCTCTGGTTCCCGCCGCGCCCACGAATCACTAGTAACAATGGAGACCGCGTGTCTTCTGTACTAGAGAAGGCGGAAGCGAAGATGAGCTCTGAGAGGGGCCGGCGAGAGCTGCTGGGTCGCCTGCATCTTAGGCCTCGCCTCCTTAGCTCAGTGGGTCTTCCTGGGTATGAAGGTGAAGGTGGGCATCTGGGGAAAGCCCTTGGCGTGGAGCCCGGGAGCTGGCCTTTGCTGTTAGACCGCCTTTCACCCACCCTCCCAAAGCCCTACGGGTGTGGCACCTGTCCCGGATACCTGAGTCACTGTAAACCAGGGGATGGCCGACCCATGCCCAAGGGTCACCCATACAGCTCCCCTGCCCAGCTGGCTCACCAGGGGTTGTGGTCTATGCCGTTCAGCCTCCGTGCCTGCAGCTGCTTGGCCATGGTGAGCTGGAGACGACAGAGCGGGAGCGAGGTCAGCGCTGGAGTGGTCCAGGTGCCGCGGGCCAGCACTGAGCCAGCACCCGGTCCGCCCACGCCCACTCCTAGGGAGGAGGCTGATCCGCACTCTGATAGCGAGGCAGGCCCCAGCTTGCCTCCCTCCAGTGCCCACCAGGCCCCTCTCCTGGCCCTTCCCCTTCCCGGCCTCAATTTCCCCACCGGCAAGGACTGCCTGGCGAGTGCGCCGGATCTGTTCTGAGACAGCCCTGCCCTAACCAGGTGAAAGGATTTTTTTTGAGAGGTTTTTGCTATAGGGCGCATGTGCTCGCCAGAAAGACAGAGAGACAGAGACAGAAAGCGAGAAATCACCCCCCAGGGGGGATGGCCACGCCGCAATCCCTTCTCCTCCATTCTCCTCTCCGGATCTTGGGCACGCACACGCGCTCAGCAAGTTTAAGCCACAGGGTCCGTGACTCAAACAATGGTCGACTACAATGGGAGTCCAGCGACATAGCCATTACGCCAACTGCTGGTCCCTAACCAGGTGAAAGTTTGACCCAGGGCGGGCTGGAGGCTGAGCGGAGGTGTAGGAAGGGGAAGGTGGGGCCGTGACAGCAACAGCTTCTGTTCGCAGAGGTCTCCCTGGGCGCTCATTCGATTCTCCCAAAGATCTGGCTGGGCCCACTTCGCCTATGAGAAAATGGAGGGTGAGTGGGGGAGTGACGGGCTATTCAGGTCCACCACGAATACCCTCACACTCAGGCCTGTTTGACACAAGGCTATGTTCTAACCCTAGTGAGGGGCACACTCGCTCTGTCCTGGGAGGGGCTTGGGGTCCTCACACCCAGCCAGGCCTCCCCTCCCTGTGTTCCTAACAGGTCAGCTCCCTGTCACCCACAGGGGCGTAAAATCTAGCTAAGCCCCGAGTCCTGGTCTCAGTCTCCTGTCAGCACAGCAGGAGCATGGGCTTGGGGGTCACCATAACTCCCGCTGCTGGGATGTGCCAGTCCCCACAGCCTAGCAGGTGGTGGTGCCAGCCCCTAACCTCCTAGGCCACCTGCTGTGGCCAGCAGTTATCTCCTCCCGTAGCTTGAGATCCTCTCAGGCCCCACGTGCCTTCCCTAGAGCTGCCATGATAATCCCCACCTCACAGATGAGGACACGGAGGTGCAGAGGGGCTCAGGGACCGGCCCCAGGTCAGTGGAGAAGCAGGCCAAGAGCCCAAGCAGGGTGGCTGCAATGGGGGGAGTCACCATGAGGCCCCCTGCCTTGGGGGGTTACTATGGAGGGGTACCCTGGACCATCACAGTTCTCCAAAGGATGGGAGTCCTGCTGACGTGAGGGTCAGTGAAGATCCAGCGGGGGCCTGGCGTCTTGTGGGTCCTTAGCCACGAGGGTGCTAGGCAGCCCTGGTCCATCACTGAATCCCAGATACCACCATCAGGCCTGGCTTTCAGTATAGGCTAAAATCGTGCAGAGCCACGTGATCCCTGCCGGAGAAAACCATGTCGTAACCAAAATCTTAGTGACGACTGTCTTTGGTTGATTGGCTAACAGACGCTTTTTATTTTCTTCATTATATTTTTCTTATTTTCTAAAATAAATGCTTCATTTTTATGATTAAAAAAAAAGTAGAAGGGGGCCAGCAGATGGCGTAGCTGTTACACCGCTGGACTCCCACCGGACTGACTGTAGTTCAAGTCCCAGACCCGGTGGCTTGAAAGTAACGTTGGGTGCGTGTGCGTGCGTGCCCAAGATCCTGGAAGGAGAATGAAGGAGAAGGGATTGTGGCATGACCACCCCCCCGGGGAGTGATTTTTCACTTTTCCCCTCACTGTCTCTGTCTCTCTGGTGAACACACGCACCCTAAGGCAAAAATCTCTAAAATAATAATAAACGTAGGAGAGGGCCCAATGGTGGCATGGTAGGTAAGGTGCTGGACTCCCACATGGCCAACCATGGTTCAAGTCCCAGGCCCGTAGGCTTGAAAATCACACTGAGTGTGTGTGCATGCATTCCCAAAATCCCAAGAGGAGGATAAGGAGAAGGGAGTGTGGTTACTGCCCCTGAGGGTGATTTCTCACTTCCCTCTCTGTCTCTCTCCGGGATGCACACATACACATGCCCTATGGTGAAAACTAAAAGTGGGAGTAAAGCCTGCTGTGGGGATGTTTATTACTGTGACTCACTGATGTCAGTGAGGCAGGCTCCAGAGTCGCATGGGCAGGATGGTTCTGCTTTGCCAAAGGAAAAAACGCTCTAATATGTATTTGTACACACACACACAATTTTAATGACCACATACGAGTAGGGAAAAAAGACCGGAAGAAAATACATCAAAATGTGGGGCCAGCAGTGTAGTGGTTATAGCACTGGACTCCCGCATGGCTGACTGCGTTCCGAGTCCCAGACCCAGTGACTTGAAAGGTCACACTGAGCACATGTGCTTGCGTGCCCAAAATCCCTGGAAGAGAATGGAGAAGGGACTGAGGCAGGGCTGTCTCCCCTGCCCCCCGGCGTGGGGGGATTTCTCACTTTTCCTCTCACTGTCCCTCTCTGTTTCTCTCCTGCGAATGCACATGCCCTGTGGAAAAATCCTTAAAAGAATACACACATGCACACACACACAAATGCTTTCTCTTTCTCTCCGAGTGGTGAAATTCCAGGTGACTTTCATGCCCTGTGTGTGCTTTTCTGTTTCTGAGTTAGTACGGTGAGCACACCTATTTGGCCGGTTTTGCTATAGCATGTACGCGTTCTACCTTCTCTGAGTTTGGGTGTGTCTTGCAATCTATAGCATCAGTTTGTCACTCCTTTCCCTCTTTTTTAAATTGTGGCTATTTGTTGCTTCCATGAGTGGGGGAGACAGAGAGACAGAGACAGAGACAGAGTCTGCATGCCCAGCAGGACCTTGACACCATGATCCAGCCCAGCCTCAGCCAGTCCTCAACGATGAGCACGCGTGTGCCTGGTGTACTCAGGGAGGGCTCTGGATCGGACCCAGAACCTGCCCCTGTGGGCACGCCTCGCAGAGCATCACAGTGCACCTGTGTGTCACCGTCTGACCCCCTTTGCCCTTCGTCTGGCAGTGGACCTGACTATGGATGGCATGATGGACTCGCTTTTGAGAGGAGGAGTCCTCAGACTGAATGATGGCGTGGGGCAGTGATGCAGCGCAAACGTGACGCTCTGCGAGGCTCTCACATGGGAAGGTTCTAGGTTTGCGCCTGGAGACCTCCCTGAGAATGCTGGGCACACACGTGCCCTGAACTGAGCTGAGCCTGGGGCAGGACCTTGTCGTGGGGAGGGGGTTCTCTCTCTCGTTCATGGAAGAAATAAGCTTTTAAAAAATAGTAAAGATGGGACCAGCAGTTAGCGCGATGGCTGTGCTGCTGGACTCCCATGTAGTCGACCTCGGTTCGAGTCCTGGACCCAGTGGCTTAAACTCATGCCGGGCGCATGTACGTGCGTGCCCAAGGTCCTGAGAGGAGAATGGAGGAGAAGGGATTGCGGCGTGGCCATCCCCCCTAGGGGGGTGATTTCTCGCTTTCTGTCTCTCTGTATCTCTCTTTCTGGCAAAGTGCACACGCCCTATGGCAAAAGAAACCTCTCCATAAAAAGAAAAAAAAAATAGTAAAATTGGGTCAGCAGGTGGCATGGCGGTTTAGGTGCTGGACTCCCATGTGGCTGACGGTGGTTCTAGTCCCAGACCTGGCAGCTTGCTTTCTCACTTCCCCTTTCTCTCTCTCTCTCAATCTCTCTCTCGCTGGTGAGAGCATATGCCCTATAGAAAATTAAAACATAATAATAGTAGTAATAATAAATAAAATAAAATAAAAAAAGGAGTCGGCAGGTGGCATGGTGGTTAAAGGTGCTGGATTCCCACATGGCCAAACACGGTTCAGGTCCTAGACCTGGTGGCTTGCTTTCTCACTTTCTCTCTCTCTCTGTCCCTCTCTGGTCAAACTGAAATAAACAAATGAATAAATAAATAAATAAAGTTAAATAAAATAATTCTTTAAGAAAAATTAAAATAAAGAATTCTTTAAAAAAAAAAAAAGTGAAGATGAGGGGCCAGCAGTTAGTGTAATGGCTATGTCGCTGAACTCCCATATAGTCAACTGTGGTTCGAGTCCCGGACCCGGTGGCTTAAACTCACGCCGGGCGCGTGTGTGTGCATGCCCAAGATCCCGAGAAGAGAATGGAGGAGAAGGGATCGCAGCATGGCCATTCCCCCGGGGGGTGATTTCTTGCTTTCTGTCTTTCTGTCTCTCTCTTTCTGGCGAGCGCACGTGCCCTATAGCAAAAATCTCTCCAAAAAAAAAAAGAAGAAAGAAAAAAAGTGAAGATGAGTCAGGAACAGTAAGAGGGAGATGGGGAATAGGAGAAGATTTGGGGGCAGGCTGGGGGAGGCGAAGGTGCACAGACTGGGGGAGGGACACAGGAGGTGAGTGCAGCTGAATGGGTTTGGGGAAGAAATAGAAATAACGGTGAGGACCCTTTACGGGTGCACAAAGGAGCGACTTTCACCTCCGTTCCGTCACACAGTGCCTGAATAAATGAGGACAGTGCCTCTTCCTGGGCTTATTCGGCCAACTTTACTGAGCACCTGCAGCGTGCGGGGTGTGGGCTGGGCACGGGGATGAGGGGCAGACAGCAGCACCCAAGCAGACTATTAGGATGCAGAGCTATGAGGTTTAGAAGCAAGGGCAAGGGGAGGGCCCACATCCAGGCGCAGTCAGGGAAGACTTCCTAAAAGAGGAGGCTCATGCAAGGCTTGAAAGCCATGGCCAGGCAGTTCCCAGGAGCCCCAGGTCATGCAGGGAGCAGAGCGTTGGGCTAGAGCACTTACAGTCTGGTGCAAGGACCGGGAGGGCGAGGGTCCAGCCTTCTTTCCCCATAGGGGCCCCACCAGGCACATACGGATGGCCGCTGCTTTCCTGATCATGCCTCACGGGGCACGGCCGGCTTCTCCTCTGGGGGCAGAGGCAGGGAGGAGAGAGCGCTGCCAGAAAACGGGTGAGCTCAGGACTTGGGTCCCCCACACAAGGCGCTAACGGGAGCGACGATGTGGTCACTATGTGCCAAGTGCTTTCCTATAGGGTGATGCCAACCGGGAGCTACGCCTGGGCATGTCGTACTGGCGTTTCAGAGAACCATGGCTTAAAACCTTCAAAGGAGCCCGAGAGGAAAAAAGCTCTCTACCTATAGGAGAGCAAGGTAAGAATCGGGCGAGCCAGCAGGTGGCATGGAGGTTAAGGCACTGGATCCCACATGGTCAGGGGCACAGTTTGAGTCCCAGACCTGGTAGCTAGAAAATCATGCCAGGCACATGTGTGTGCGTGCCCAAAATCCAAAGAGGAGAATGGAGAAGGGACTGCAGCATGGCCATCTCCCCGAGGTGTGATTTCTCTCTCTCTCTCTCTCTGTCTCTAGCAAGCACGCACACCCTATAGCAAATTAAAAATGAAAAAGATGGCACGCGATTTTCCTCCTGTGCAGTAAAAGAGTGAAGTTAGAGGCTACAACATCTATTTAATGTATTTCTGGATAACAAAGCGGACATTACAATACACTCATTTTAAAAAAGATGTTGGGGGGGGCTGGCCCCATTGCCTAGAGTTTAAGTGAGCTGGGTCCCACATGGCCAACCATAGCTCGAATCCTGGCCTTGGCAGCTCTGAAAATACACAGGATGCATGTGTGGGCATGCTCCAGATCCCTACAGGGTGAAGAAATGGAGCTGGGATTGCGTCATGACTATGCCTCCCCAAACCCATTGCCTCACTGACTATCCCTCCCTCTCTCTAGCCCTCTTTTTGGCAAGTGCATGTGCACTCTGGCAAGTTTTAAAAAAAAATGGCATTGGGCCTCTTGGGTCACAAATCACTGTCCCAGGGGATGATGATGCAGCAAGGCACAGGAAGTGTTGGGGAAAGCACAGGGGGTCAGGCGTTGGCACCATTCAGCACAGGCTTATTGAACACCTGCTACGTGCCGAGCAGGCGCTGCAGACTATCTGAATAAGACAGACCCGTCCCTGCCCTCTGGCACCTTGTATTCCAATGAGGGACACAGCATCGAACAAACACGAAGAAACAGACGGCGTATCAGGTGGTGATACGTGTTACGAGGAAGCATAAAACAGGGAAAGGAAATAGCAGGCAAGGGTGCTACTTTATTATGGTGGGAGTTCAAGGTATGCTTTCCTGATAGGTAAGGAAGTGGCCAGGTGCACACTTGGAAGAGCATGCCAGGCAGAGGGAGCAGCAAGTGCGAAGGCCCTGAGACAGGACGTTAGTAAAGATGCAGGTTCAGACAGCAGAGGTCCGAATGCAATTTCTTAAACCGTACAGATTCTTCCTCATGAAAAAATGGATGGGACCAGCAGTTAGCATAATGGCTATGTCGCTGGACTCCCACGTAGTCGACTGCGGTTCAAGTCCCGTACCAGGTGGCTTAAAACTCACACCGGACACCAGGCGCGTGTTCGTGCGTGCCCAAGATCCCGAGAGGAGAATGGAGGAGAAGGGATTGCGGCACGGCCATCCTCCCTGGGGGATGATTTCTCGCTTTCTATCTGTCTTTCTCTGTCTTTCTGGCGAGCACATGCGCCCTATGGCGAAAACCTCTCCATAAAAAAAGTGGAGCTGCCATGGTGGCTCCGATTATGAAATTGGGATTCCAATGGTACAATATTGCTACATATCCAACACACCCAAACTTACTGCTTAACACAACTGCAATCATTTCTTTTGCTTACAGATGTACAATTTGGGCAGGGCATGGTGGAGACAGCACAGATCTGCTCCACCTAGTATCAGCTGAAGTGACTGGGTGGGTGCTGGAGCACTTCCAAGACAGCCCAGTTACGCGGCTGGCCAGCTGACCTTGCTGTTAGCTGGGAGCTCAGCAGGGGATTAGGCCTGGGAGTCTTGCTCCTCTCCGCAGGGGCCTTTCCACAGGCTTCCTCCTGACGTGGGGGCTGAGTTCCGAGAGTGAACATCCCAAGAGAACAAAGTGGAAGTGAAAGGTATTGTTCGAACTAGCCTTGGAAGCCACCCACCGTCACTACTGGCGTACTCCATGGGTGAAGGCATTGAGCATGGTGGGGGGCAGAGATGGCACTGCTGCACGGGATGCGTACCAAAGTCACACTATGAGAAGAGCTCGTGGCATGGGACACACCATTTCCTCTATCTTTGGAAAAGTATAATCTCCGAAGTTCCAGACTCCCACCTTGGTCTTCCACCACCACCAGACTATCGCTGTTACTCACACAGTCCAACGCCTCCTTCCATCCAAAGAAAGAGGAAGGAGAAAGAGGGGAGGGCCAGCCACATACCACTTCGGATTGTGCTTCATTGGTCAGAGCTCAGTCACGTGGCCATATGTAGTTGCAAGGAAAGCTGGGAAATATTAGTCTGGGAACACTGGCTAAAAATGGAAGGGTCTATTAATATCACCACAGAACTGGGGTGGGCAACCAGGACTCGTGGGCCAGATTCAGCCTGCCGCCTGTGTTAATAAATATAGTGTTGGGACCAGCAGTTGGTGTAATGGCTACGTCACTGGACTCCCATGTAGTCGACCGTGGGTCTAGTCCTGGACCCGGTGGCTTAAACTTATGCCAAGTGTGTGCTCAAGATCCTGAGAGGAGAATGGAGGAGAAGGGATTGTGATGTGGCCATACCCCGGAGGGTGATTTCTCACTTTCTTTCTCTCTGTCTCTCTGGTGAGTGCATGTGCCCTATAGCAAAAACCTCCCCGATAAATAAATAAATGAATAAAGTGTTTCTGGTACATAGTCACCCTCAGATTTTTAACATATCGCCTGAGGCTTCTTTTGTGCTACAGCAGCAGAATTGAGACCTTGCAACAAGTCCTGTAGAAACTGAAATCTTTGTTGTGGCTCTTTACAGAAAGTTTTCTGACCCTGCTATAACAGAGAGGGGAGGGATCAACAGATGGCATAGTGGTTACATTGCTGGACTCCCACATGGCCAATCACAGTTCAAGTCCTGGACCCATTGGCTTGAAAATCATGCTGGGTGTGTGTGTGTGCATACCCAAAATCCCAGGAGAAGAATGAAGGAGAAGGGATTGTGGTGAGGCCATCCCCTCTGGGGGGGTGGTTTCTCACTTACCCTCTCATTGTGTCTGTCTCTCTTTCTCTCTCTCAAGCAAGTGCAAACACTCTAAGGCAAAAACCTCTCAAAAAAAAAAAAAAAAAAAAAAAAGGAGAAGAGAAGGGATATTGGGGGACAAATGACAGATAGAAACGGTATGGCTGGAGCAGAGCAACCAAAGGGACAGCAGCAGGAAGTGAGCTGGGACGGACCTCACCTCCCATCTAACAGAGCCGTGGGTACATGGCAAACACTCGGGACTTAAGCAATGGTCTGTGGCACCAGGGTAGAGTTGCTCCAAAGAAGCTGGATCCCACATGGCAATCACAATTAGAATCCCTGAAATACGCTGGACACGGGTGTGAATGCCTGAGATCCAAGGCTGCAGGCCTGGAGGCAGGGGACAGCGGTGCGACCAGACCCTGTGGAGGTGCTTCTCTCTCTCGTATGTGTGCACATGCGCACTATTAAAACCAACAATAAGGGAGCCAGCAGTTAGCGTAATGGCTATGTCGCTGGACTCCCACGTAGTCGACCACGGTTCACGTCCCGGACCCAGTGGCTTAAAACTCACGCCGGGCACGTGTGCGTGCATGCCCAAGATCCCGAGAGGAGAATGGAGGAGAAGGGATTGCGGTGTGGCCATCCCCTCTGGGGGGTGATTTCTCGCTTTCTGTCTCTATGTCTCTCTCTGTCTGTCTGGCGAGCGCACGCGCCCTATAGCGAAAACCTCTCAAAAAAACCCAAAAAACCAACAATAACAACAACAACAACAAAACCCAAACACATGAGAAAGAGGCCTTGGGCCTTCTTAGTGTGAGAGTTTAGGAGAGAAAAGCAGCCTCTAGCACCCGGGAGCTGGCCTGGCACCCACAGAATGGGCTTGGAGCCCTCCTGTTGAGCACCAGCATCCAACAAGGCCGCTCTCCAACCATGATAAATCAAGAAGAAAACAAGGCCACTTGTGGCATGGTGGTTAAAGTGCTAAACTCCCACACGGTCAACCACGGCTCAAGTCCCAGACCCAGCAGCTTGAAAATCACACCGGGGGCTCACTCCAGGTCTGTCCCACCGGCTCAGCCTGCTCAGTTCCCACTGCTCAGTTCCCAGCCTCCTGCCTCCCAGAGCCCCCCATGCTCAGGATGGCCCTGGTCTGCTCTGCCCTTCCCCACACATCTCTGACGAACGACCCGTGACCAAGGACTAGCTGTCGGCTTTGGTGTAACCATCAGTCCCAAGGGGCTCATCAACCTAGACCCTCTGCTTACTCACAGGAGTCCACTGAGTTAGACCAGTCGCTTGACCGCTATGTTGACCTAAACTTGACCTCAGCCCAGGAGGTGCCCTCACACCTGTACCTGGAGAACACGGAGGTTTTCCCCAGTGACCTGGAGTCAGTGACCTCCAGCTTTATGGAAGAAGCCTTGACTCCTTCAGGGAGAGATCCATCTCACGGAGGTTTAAAAGGAAGCAGATTCTCCATGCGCTGTGACTCTCGCTCTGCTGTCACTTCATGAGAAGATCCTGAACTTCAGAACAAGCCCCCCATTACACTGCTGAGATCTCAAAACGGGAAAACGAAACACAGGGTGGGCACAGCTGAGGGGAGATGGCAAGACCCTAGGCTGGGCAGTGTGCATTGTGTGAGGATGGAAGCGAGGCATGTCTTAGCTGTGTCCTATTTAATACAGACTGAGTGAATGTTCATTTGAATTAAAAGAAAGAGAGAAAGAGAGAGAGAAAACCCACCGGGCGTGTGTGCCTGCGTGCCCCAAATCCCAGGAGGAGAATGGAAGAGAAAGGAATGCAGTGTATCCAGTCCCGGGGGGGGGGGGTGTTTCTCACTTTCCCTCTGTCTCCGGCTAAGCACACGCCC